AAGGTGGACTGGGGCGCCCGCTCTCCTCCGCTGCCAGCCGCGGGCGCAGGCGGCACGCGGTTCGTGCTCCTCGGAGCCCGTCTTGAGCCCGGAGCGGGTTGTGTTTGGGTTCAAGGGACAGAAGCCACCTGTGTCTTTGCCCGCTTCGGTTCTGTCTCCTGTAGGTAATAACGTTTTGCCCGCGCCGCGTGCAGAGCCGTCCGTTCCTGCTCAATCCCTAGCTTTAAAACAGAGCTGCTGGCGCGAGTTCAGGGACGTGTGCATGTGACATATGATATTGTTGCAATAGCTGCGTAACATAGGAACGATAACATTAATGCACATTAATGCAGGACGACGTTGCTACGTTACTCTCTTCTCATGGTATGCTGCTGTCTGCCTAGTTTTCCTAACAGCGGGCTGCTATATATACATGTGAAGGGCTTCGCTGTTTACCCAGATTTTTTCAGCCATCTCCTTGGCTCGGGCTGGCTGCTCCCCTTGTCACAAGGCTATAGGGCCGACCTGGTCGTCTCCTTCAACGGCCTAACGAGCCTATTGTATTAACCTATCGGACTGTGCTAGCGGTGCTGGCAAACAGCGGCTCTGCTCGAGCTGGCGTTGAAGGGCCCCGCGCGGCTGCCGCCGAGAAACGCCTCCCTTTCGACCGTGGGACGAAGAGGGCACGGAGGCGTGCGAGGAGCTCGGCCTGCGTCCCCGTTCCTGGGAAGGATCGAACCCACCCCCGGGCATTCGCGGCGTTATGTCAAACAGCAGTGTAGGCCATTTAACGACATCGGTTTTTCTTTGCCTTTTAGATCCAAGAAGTTATCAGGGATGGCAAACTTCAAGGGTCACGCGCTTCCAGGCAGTTTCTTCCTCCTCTTTGGGCTCTGGTGGTCAGTGAAATACCCACTGAGGCATCTCAGCCAGAAAGCAAATAAGAAGTCCCACAGAAATTATTGTTTCCAGCGGGCCGATGCCATTGAAGGGGGAGTCAAAATCGCCTTCGCTCTAATAGGTAAGGATTATATCAGCCTATTTCAGTAGATGCGCTGCTAACTTTCCATCCTGTAGTGATGACTGCAGCAGAGTCCTTGTGTCCGTACTCCAGAGACAACGTGGAAGGAGGTGTCCCTCATATTTGTTTTGTCTTGGTCTCTAAGTAGAGTTGGACGTGAGAAGATCCAGTCTCATGACCTTTCCCAAAGCTCAGCTACCCTTAATACAGACCGTCCTGATTTCTATATCCAGTCCTTTCTCCCTACCGCAAAGTCATTAGCTCTCAGCTTCAGAAACCCCCTGCAGCAACGAATAGCAGCACCCACCCTCGTGCATAAACCGGTCCCTCAGAAGGAAAACGGCGTGATCTCGTGTGCCCGTGCAGGCATGCTGGCGGAGCAGTTCGTCCCCGACGGCCCGCACCTGTATCTCTACAGCGGGGAGAAGCGTGACTGGGTGAAGCTGATGAACTGGCAGCACACCACCATGTACCTCTTCTACGGCCTCTCGGGGGTGGTGGACGTCTTGACCTATTTCTCCCAGGCGGTGCCGCTGGGCCTGGATCGCCTCATGCTCTCTGTGGCTGTGTTTGTTGAAGGTCGGTAGAAGGCGACACGTCCTTTCATCAGGGGAGGGATATGTGACGGGGAGGCAGAGAGGGACCAAAACTTGCCGGGTTTGGGATATCTCTCTGAATGTCCCTGCAGTTAAGGCCCTTTTGGGTCTGATACGCTAGTGAGGGCTGTCTGTAGCAAGATGGGAAGTGCAGGCATCAATAGGCCCTTCTGCCTGTCAGCTCTCTTCTCGAGGGTCTGCCTGGAGATAGAAGCCAGCAAGATGAAATCAGGTGGTCCCCATACTCTGGATGGTCTCCTGTGCAGCAGTAGACGAGCAGCTGAGCACAGACGCAAGCTGGGGCACGTAACCGGAGGCAGGCCACATCACCCCCATGCTTTCCCAAAAGTGACCCACAGACCATCGCTAGGGTCAGGCATGCTTCACGGCAAACATGACGTTGAGGGGCTGTGGGAGGAGATGGCTACACTTTGCCTGGCGGTGGTAAAACCCAGATTCTGTCTTTGAAGAACGGCTGCTGCCTAATTACTGCCGTATGCGGCACGGGTCTCTCGGGTGACGGGGTACCAAACGGCAGGCTGAGTTTCCTTGCTGTGATAAACGGCCGGGGGATGCTGCATTTGTCTGGCATCCCCAGAGCTGTCGGAGCCGCCGTGCTCCTCCCGAGAGCAGGCAGCGCCATCCTCATCTGCTCGCCTTGCACGTGGCAAGTTCGAGTGACTTCTGGCTTGAGTGCATCATGAATATCATTTTCGCTTCAGACTACCTTGCAGGTCAAGAGTCAGAATTTCAGACCTCTCTCAGATCAAACAGGGCAAGGAAAGGACACTAGGAAGTGAAGTTCTTGCTTACTTAGGCAAATCCTTTATCAAGGAGTGTCTTGTGTTATTTGCCTTTCCCCAACCCCGGTGGCTTTAAAGAAGCAGCACAGATAATTCAACAGGTAAAGTCTGGTAGGTAACAGAAGGAAAGCTATGATTTCCAGCTCCCAGGAAAATGGTGAAGGTTAAGTAACAGAAAAGCAGGATACAGCAGGGATACGCATGAGCGGG